TCTGTCCATAGCATGTTGAGCAACTGGGACTTCGGACTGGCTGGTAACACATTATTTTGATTGACATGCCTGTTCTCTCAACATTTATCAGAAACGACAAAGGAGGTATTTCTGTCCGTGTGGTGACAGCTATCCTCACAAAACACCTGAAAATTTCCCAGCTGTTGTCCAGCCACCCACAGGCTAAAGATGGCATTGCCATAGATCTCCAGGGCTGTTTAAGGAAGGTCACTCAGCTACTGCCACATCATGGTCCCACATAACCTAAATTATTCTGGGTCTACAGAAAGCGTATTTGCATTGCTGTCCTTATAGATTTCTAGGGCTTTTAGGCACTACGCTTTCCTTTACCCGTAACACAGTGACATATCCCCATAGCAGAAGGAACTACTGGTTCTGCCCAATGAAAAGTCCATTTCCCTTGCAGGTTCAGTTCATGTTTCCTGCAGTGATGCTCAAACCAAAGACAAGGGAGATCTTCCAGACGTATTTCAGCTCTTAAGTCACTACAGATCTTAAATGTAAGTTTTGCTGCTTTCCAACCCTGATTCTGTACAGCTTTAAAAATTACCACGGTTTTATGATTTACTTGATTTAAGGGTGAAAGAAACAGGCTCTTTGTGAACTCCAGTCTGAAACAGCACTTTGGCTGCTACAGATACAGCATTTTCTGGTACTTAGTCTGAAAAAATCTGCCAGTTCTATCCAGAAATGTCATTAAAAGAACTGTAATTATTTTTCCAGATAAACTACTCATGCTTCAGAATGTTTTGTGAATAACTGCAAGAATTAGAACCCATTGTGTTTTTGCTTTCAATCTACTCTTTTTGTCCCTATTTATAAGTTTTTTCTTTATTTGGCTTTCTCTTTTTTCCAGATATGACCAGTTCTCTGGACAGTTATTAGATCCCAGTTAAACATTACAAATTTGACAGTGTGTACATAACATTAGAATGCATGATGTATTATAAACACCAGCTGGAATGTTCCCCTTTTCCCTGTTTCTATTTTATCAACCTCTTATTAAGAGAATTTGCGATTTAAGACATGAGACATTGTTCACTGAGAAAAGATGCAGCTACATCCTAGAATATAGTCCAAGTTAGCTGAACTACTTCTAGTATGTATTGGCAAACCACAATACAGCACTATCATGATTCTCACATCATATCAAAACATATTCTGGATACATATAAAGAATGTATCACAATAAATCCAAACTATCTGCTTTTGGAGAAGTAGCCATGTTTCTTGAACTTACATGAAATACCACTCTGTATAGTTAATTTCTTAATATAATTAGGGCATAAAATAATGAACCTTCCTGCATTTGGTTCACACTAAGCTGAAGTTCCCCAGTATCACAGAAACTAGTGCAAGTTAAGCAAAATTAAGTGCTTAATTTTCTTTGGCATTCTTTCAGTGTCATATACGACATGCTTATAGCGTACCCTTTTCAGTTTCTGCGGATGCTGAGTTGGTCAAGGTTAATCCAAAACCTTAAATTCGAGGACAGAGTTTTAGAAAGGGGGATTTAAGATACTATGGTGGCACTGACTGCAGCTCTTGCCTCAGTGTTAAGAAGGGAATCTCCTGCTGGATAGCAAGATGCATCACCCTGGGCCTGGCCTTAAGTCTAGGAGTGGAGACAGGAATAGACTATCTGAGAAACAGGGCAGAAAGCACCCATTCTCATGGTACAGAAATGGCGCAAAGAGCAAAGGCACAGAACCACTTCTGTAGTTTCTGGCTTAAAGCAAGTATACAAAACCAGAGCCAAGGTGGAGAAAATAGATGTAGGAGAAACACAGAGCAATTCGTAATCTTCCTACTAGTATTACATTGTAGAAGGCTGTGGAGATCTTTGAACGTGATATAGCAAACTAAGACAATGGTGAGTTGACTGTATTCTCCTCCAATTAGCAGAATTTCTGTGCTTATACTTGGACAAGACAACTAGTTATTGCTCAAAGAGAAACTAAAATAATTACATAAAGAATATAGCATCAAGTCTCAACATTCTTGCTCCTTAGGAAAGACTGCTGAATCTTGTCTGCATTTACAAATACTGAACAAGTCTGAAAAAACAGTGCAAAGAACATTGCAGTAATCTCACGGGAAGCTAAAAGAGCCAAAGTGGATTTTTTTTAACAGGGCAAACTAGATAAAGAGAATGATTCAAAGCTGTACAGGGATTGAGAGCAGCAAAGGCAAGCTGAATACACATTTTTAGCTATATTTACAGCAAAAAGTCCTTCAATGCCTTTGGAAATGACTGGAGTTACAGATAAGATATATGAAATTTTCTTCTTGTGGTTGTGATACACTTGTATATGGAAACAGTACTTCCAGTTCTAGTTCAAAGAGCTTACTGCAAAAGACAAAATACCTGAGGGAATAAAATTTGGGAAAATTGTGAAACCAAGAGCGCAACAAATGGCATTAACATACAGAAACAAAGATGTTACAACTTAAATTTCAAGAAATCTTTCCATAAGGATTTAGACACATTGATTTAATCCACAACATTAAGACCTTCAAAGCTAGATGGGAAAAACTTCTGCAAATAGAATCATAGAATAGTTAGAATTGGAAAGGACCTAGTTCCATCTAGTTCAAACCCCCCTGCCATGGGCAGGGACACCTCACACTAAACCATCTCACCCAAGGCTCTGTCCAACCTGGCCTTGAACACCGCCAGGGATGGAGCATTCACAACGTCCCTGGGCAACCCATTCCAGTGCCTCACCACCCTCACAGTAAAGAACTTCTTCCTTATATCCAATCTAAACTTCCCCTGTTTAAGTTTTAACCTGTTACCCCTTGTCCTGTCACTACAGTCCCTAATGAAGAGTCCCTCCCCAGCATCCCTATAGGCCCCCTTCAGATACTGGAAGGCTGCTATGAGATCTCCACACAGCCTTCTCTTCTCCAGGCTGAATAGCCCCAACTTTCTCAGCCTGTCTTCATATGGGAGGTGCTCCAGTCCCCTCCAATATTGTTCCAATAGGAACAATATTACCTCAATACATTACTTAATGTCTTTTTTCATCCTTAAATCTACAACCAGAAAAATATATACTGGTTAATATACCAACCTTTAATCCCTGAACAATGTTAAATAGCAGCCAGCTATGTTAGATATCTCAGCTGTAGAAAACTCACCAGGAAATTCTGATCATTTGGCTGGCTACTGATCGATGTTCATCACTAATCAATCTTGAAACAATAGAGAATTTCCAGAGGACTGGAAAAAACTACTATGTCAGTATTTCAAATTATTAAACTGAATCATTAGGATAATTCTAAGTCAGAGGGAAAACAATGAAAAAGTTGGTAATGAAACATGTAAATATAACTAATACTGATATCAATTTCTAGAAAAGACAGTTTGTCAAATGTATTTGCTTAAATGATGCCATAAATTGGCAGGTAATGGTAAAAGCTTGGATTGATATTCTGCAGCTTTTATAAGGTGTTTTGATTTATAAACCAGAATGACATATAATCATTATGGTTCTCATTAAATGGATTAAAGACTAGCCAGGAGTTAGATCTCAGAAAACCCCAGCAAAAGGGAATTATCACTGGTCAGCTGCATTTTGAGAATAGCCCCTGCAAGAACTGGTTCTTGATGTGGTTTTTTTATTTATTTATTTTTTTTTTAATAACTATCTTCCCACTTATATCAGGATTATTTGAATTATGTTTTAATGAAAAGCTGTCCTAGAGTTCTTGCAACCCAGAAGGCAAGCCTAGACTCTAACAAAACTCTAGCTGTATCATCTAGGAGCACAGGGTGGGATACAGGAAGAAATACCGTGAGTCCAGAGCTGTAATAATGAACCCTCCTGTTGGGTATTCTTCATACTGAAGGCACTTAAATTTGGTAGATTCCCCAATTTTTACTTAAGCATTTCACAAGTACCCTACATTTACTCAAGCCTCAATATTGACTCCAAAGAAGCACTGTTTGCCAATATTTATTTATTTGCAGCTTTCATGGTGTGCCCAATGCACAGCAATTAGGCTTATCTCCTTCCTCTGCTTTTTGAATCTTAAATCTTTACAGAAAGTCAGTTATTCAGCAAGAGGAGTAGCCTGACAACCCTCTTCAGAGCAGCAGGAACATGTGTTTGAGATGTTCTCTGTGGGGCAGGTGGGTCTGACTACCCTCAGACAGAGATATTTAATCTGGACCTGCTCCATCTTAAGTCACTACACTATTACCTAAGTGGACTGGTACCAGCTCTGATCCTTCTTCTTTGCTATTTCAAAAGAAAGGAAGCATTTCTGCTCCGCATAAGCTGAAAACATCAGGTCAGCAGAAAAACACTAATTCCTGCCTTTAACATTTCCTGCAGCTCCAAGTTGTAGCATAAGCTGTATAAAGAACAAGGTATAATAATTAGCCCTGCCTTAAAGAGCAGCTTGCTCAGTGTATGGTTTATTCTGAACCCTATTCTGAGGTCCTACTTCTCCCCACATGGTGGGAACTATCATACCATACTTAGAGTATCAGATTCTCTGGCAGAGCCTGCATAAATCTTTACCAATAAAGCAATAGCTGTCAAGAATAAAAAATGAAGCCTAAAACTTGTGTTTGGAATCCATTTAAGATCTGTTTCTCCTCATCCTATTCCAGTCCCCCTGCCAAAAGGTCTCTTCTCTGGTCAGATTCAGGAGCAGCTTTTTTTCTTTACTCATAGTACAGGGGCATGTGAATAACACAGACACTCTTTTTTCCAGACTACTTAGACAGAGATTAATCATTACATAATGCTTAGTGTTGGGAGGCAGTGGAGGCCATACTCTGGTAATGCAATAAACTGGCAAAAAAAATTGCTGTGACTGTCAGGAGTAGGGCAACAACTGAACACTATATACTGCTAAATAAGAAGCAAACCATAAAAGAGCTCAAAAGTGAATTCACGGAGTCACCTGATTCTCTAGAAAAATTATGACCAACTGGGAATATAGAGCAAAAAGAAGGACTAAAATCCTTCAATAAACAATTTATTAAGGCTGGAAAAGATAGCTTATTCTGAGTTACAGAAATTTAAATAGATACCTTTGAAAACTTTTTAGCTATGTAAATTTAATGGGGAATTATAAAGAACATCTTAGCTGGAATAATGTAAACGAGATTTTCATGGATGAATCTGAGTATGAACATTTTGAGCCATATTCTCCATGCTTATAAAAATATCCTCTCAAAATAAAACGACTTGCTAGATAATTAAATATTTAAAAGCTGAGTAAGAAGTTGGGAATTAAAAGAAGACTTCTGGAGTGAAAACGTGAACTTTAAACACAGGATGTGTTTCATGATCTTGGTTCAGGGTTTTTTTTTGTGAAAAACAAGTAAAAAGAAACTATTAACTTACTTATGCACAATCAGAGTTTATCTGCAAGTCCTTTAAATTTTTGTTCTTCTGACATGAAGACATTTAGAAATAGAAGTCAAAGTAGATCCTCAGCTGCAACTTGGAACACTGTGTTTCACCTGACAATCTAGATCCTTGTCTTCATCGTCTTTCTGCACAGATGAGGTATGGCTGTGGTTGTAATGTCATGCCTAATCTTGGTTTGAGATCTGGAATCATGCCATGAGGAAAACACAGGTGAAATCGTTGTAGTAATGAAGTGAAAAACAAAAACATTTCCATTCGAGCTAGTTGTTCTCCAAGGCAATGTCTTCTTCCTGGATTGAAAAAACAGTTTTAGAAAGACTTAAAATGTGTTTAATTACATTTTCACTGTTATTATGAATAAGAATGGTTAATTTTTGTGTTCTGAGAGAAGCTGTGCAAACTTTGCAGTATTCTGTAAGAGAGGATTGGTGATAATTTACAGCAAGAAACCAATTTGTTCCTCTTACTACACAAATTACATCAAATTTATTTAGATAAGCTATCAGCTACTTGCTCTTGTCTTGAAGTAGCAATATAGACAGAAGATGTTTTAAAAAATGATACTATGAATTTCAGCCCTTGTCCCCTACTATTTTGTTAATTACATCTATTGTCACTTGTTATTACCTGGCAATAATTACAACTTGGGAAGCAGAAAGATATCAAACAGATCTGGATAATACCTTTAAATATTAGTTCCCATTCTATGGATAACTAGTTACAGGGAATAAATGTGGAAGACACAGATGAATGGGTAACAACATCTGGAACTGGTAAGGTCGAACTGGCAAAAAGAAACAGAATGCACAATAAATTAATCATAGAATCATAGAATCGTTAGGGCTGGAAAGGACCTTAAGATCATCTAGTTCCAACCCCCCTGCCATGGGCAGGGACACCTCACACTAAACCATATCATCCAAGGCTCTGTTCAACCTGGCCTTGAACACCACCACGGATGGAGCATTCACAGCCTCCCTGGGCAACCCATTCCAGTGCCTCACCACCCTTACAGTAAAGAAATTCTTCCTTATATCCAATCTAAACTTCCCCTGTTTAAGTTTTAACCCGTTACCCCTTGTCCTATCACTACAGTCCCTAACGAAGAGTCCCTCCCCAGCATCCCTATAGGCCCCCTTCAGATACTGGAAGGCTGCTATGAGGTCTCCACTCAGCCTTCTCTTCTCCAGGCTGAACAGCCACAACTTTCTCAGCCTGTCTTCATATGGGAGGTACTCCAGTCCCCTGATCATCCTCGTGGCCCTCCTCTGGACTTGTTCCAACAGTTCCATGTCCTTTTTATGCTGAGGACACCAGAACTGCACACAATACTCCACGTGGTGTCTCACGAGAGCAGAGAAGAGGGGCAGAATCACCTCCTTGGACCTGCTGGTCATGCTCCTTTTGATGCAGCCCAGGATACAGTTGGCTTTCTGGGCTGCGAGCGCTCACTGAAGCCGGCTCATGTTCATTTTCTCATCGACCAACACCCTCAAGTCCTTCTCTGCAGGCTAGGTCTTTCTATGGTCTGCAGAGGTAGCCCTGGCAGTTAGCCTATACAGATGTCATGGTTTAACCCCAGCCAGCAACTAAGTGCCACACCAACCATCCCTGAGTAGTGATCCTGGCCAACTCCCCCCAGTTTATATTCTGAGTATGATGTTCTATGGTATAGAATTTTGGTTAGCTGTCCTGGCTGTGCTCCCTCCCAGCTTCTTATGCACCTCCTGACTAGCAGACTATGAAAGATTGAAAAGTCATCGACTTAGAGTAAGCACTACTCAGCCACAACTAAAACATCAGTGTACTATCAACATTATTCTCAGACTAAATTCAAACTACCAGCTACTAGGAAGAAAATTAAAACTCCAACCCAGCCAAAACCAAGACAACAAAACTATTTTTTTAGGTTGGTAATCATATGTGAAGCAAATTATTCACTCTTATAGGCATCAAAAGACAAATCCATAATGATTCGGGACTGTTAGGAGTATTTCCTTAGGGCAGAATGAAGTGCTGCATGCTGACTCCCAAGCCAGTTCTGAATCAGGTCTGCGGTTTCTGGTGCTGATATAAATGCTGAAATTTGAAAGCTTTTTTTTTTAAATCACCTGTATGTAATGACCTTAGCAGCATATTACTGTTAATTGTGAAATGAGTAACACTTACGTGCTGCAAAGATATAAAATGTCTGGATTCCTCAGAAGACACTGTGCTGTCTTTTTTATTAGTTTATATACAATAATGAGCTCATCTATATAAAAGATATTATGCTAAAATATATTATGTCCAGAGTACATTATATTGAATACCTTTAAAATAGCTGTTTCATCAGAACTGTGGATACTTTATATCATTCTGTCCATTCCCGATTTATTGCCATGACTTCTATGTTATTCGTCTCTAGGTTTCTGAAAAGGAACAGTGGAAGGAATCACTTACCTAGTGAAAAAGGAATAAATGCATCTTTCTTGACAAATTGCCCACTGCTGTCCAAAAATCTCTCAGGAAAAAACACTTCTGGATTGCTCCAATATTTTTCATCAAAATGAACAGAGTAAAGGTTCGTAATGACTGTAGTGCCCTCAGGAATAGAGTAACCACGCACAACAGTATCTTTGGAAGTTGCATGAAAAATACCTAGTGGAACTATATTACAGAATCTTAGAACTTCATGTAGAACAGCCTCAGTGTATGGCATTTTGCTTTTCTCTTCTAAGGTAGGCATTTTGCTTGGGCCGATGACTAATTCGATTTCTTTTTGAACTTGCCCTGTTAGGAACAGGAATAAAAGTTGATGCTTATTGTGTAATGTCCTTTATTTTTTTAAGCTATAAAATATATACTTTATGAAGGATACTGAAACATGAAATATATAAAATATAGTAGAGCATAAGTTTTTAAATTCAGACTATACTTTCCTTATCCTGCTAGAAGGAATTATTACTAGCATATATATATATATATATATATACAAGTAATCTTCATTTCAGAAGTAATTTTCTCAGTAAAATAATGTTTTAACATACTTTTTTTCCTTGTATATCTTTTTTTTTCTGCAGCTCTTAAAACTAAACAAACAAGCAAAAGACTGCAAAGCTAGTTTTACTTGCTTAGCCAGATGTTTAAACCAGCTCAGTGAATATGGGACTTATAATAATGGCAATAGCAGCAATGAAAAAGCTTTGTCATCAACTTCTTTATCTAAACTGAATGATTTTCACTGCTTATAGCACGTCAGGCCTTGACATATATTATCATCATAATTTTGGTGGGTTTTTTTTAAGTAAAGCTGTATTTACCTTAAATGTAAATATAAAATTTCACCTCCAATTTTAAGATAATAATTGCTTCCTGTCTACCATAAGAAGAAATATAATCTTTCCTACATAAAGATATCTGGTTCCTATGTAGAACTTCAGATCTTTAAGAGCCTTACAGCTACAGGTAATAATGTTATCCCCATTTTGAAATTATGATAATGGTGAAATTGATGTTAGAGCAGTATTTTTTGTCAAAGTATAAATAGTAACTTTCCAAGTTATCTAAGGCTGCTCTTTCTCCAAATACTTAACGTCTCCAGTTGAACTAAGTCCTGCTAAGTTTTGATAGGAAAAGCAAAGTGGAGGCAGTGAAACAAGAAACGTGACCGTTCACTTCTAAAATCCAAATGTCTACACAAAATATCTGGGCTGACATTCAAACATCTATTGCTGTCTTACCTCTGAATGACTGCAACATCTTCCTATTTTTATTTTTAAATGCTATCTATTTTTGTTCTTTCAAAACTATAAATATACATGTCTGTAATACATAAATCTATTGTGAATTGAGACACTTAAGGATAAGAAGAAATGGCACCTAAATAGTTAACCACAACCTGATTTACATTTTTGCTGATATTTTTACATTCTTATTTTATTAATTTCATATTTAATTGCATTTGCTTATTATTTACTAGCTACACAGATTAGTGTATCTACCAATCAATATTATGCATCACTACACTAAAATATATCAGAAATACTTTATTGAAAATATTAAAGCTTCATAAAAATATATTCACAAAATAATACGCAAAAATTTTATCACTATACTTAACTTTCGATGTCCTCTCCACCTGCATATAAAATAGGCTTTTTACCTCTACCCATAGTATGTTTGGTAAATAGAGTAATATATACAACCCTTTCTTTCTTTTTGGTTACAACTATGGATCACTGCACTGCTTTGAAAAAGCATTTTAAATTTGCATTAGGAAAGTGTATCAGTTCCTCAAAATACCAAAGTTCTTACCTTGAATGTTGGGATAAAGAGCCATAAATAACACTGCCCATCTTAAAACATTTGTTGTGGTTTCTGTCCCAGCTATGATGAGTTCTCCAACAGAGAAAATTAAGTTTTCTCTTGAGTATGTAGATTCTGGATCCTTTTCATTGCAATCCATCTCATCTAAATATGCATCTACAAAATGTCGAGGTGACTGCGGCTTCCTATTTTCAGAGACACGTACAATAAGATCATGAAGAAAGTCATAGACTTCAGCTGCATTTTTAAACAGCTGCTGGTGTTTCCCAAATGGCAAGATACCAATCCAAGGAAAAGCATTATATAAAAATACAGAAGCACTAGCAGCTAATTCAATATTTTCACTAAAAATCTCAATCATGTGCTGAAATTCGGTATCTTCATATGTAAAACGTTCTCCAAAAATAATCAAATTCGTAATGTTTGAAACAGCATTTGTTATCAAGTGCTTTAGATCAAATGGTCTGCCTTTGTATGTATCAATGGCATCAAGAAAAAACATAGCTTCTTCCAAAATTTTGTGTTCAAAGGACCTTTGACCATATCCAAAAATTCGAAAGGTATTTACAGCTAATTTGCGATGTTCTGTCCATCCTCTGCCATATTTACTGTTCAGTAAGCCTGAAAAAAATATTTTGACACAGTGTTTTATGCAGTGTTTATTTTTCCCCCCATAAGATAATAAAACTATTTAACAAGACAAGAAAAGACAAAAAAATTACACACACCTTGCTATGGGATAGTTCAAGACTGACAGTACTTTCCAAACAATAACTTTAAAGAAGCACCCAGTATTTTACAAAAGGAGATAAAGAAGTAGAGAAAACAGTAAAGCAAATGTTTCACGTGATCACAAGCCCATCTGTTGGACAAAACCTACATTTTTATATAAAAGATATTAGTTCTTACCTCCCATGTTTGTCAGCTTCTTAAACAAGGGAAGAGATGGTCTGTCTGCAAAAATTTCACTTTGATGAACAAGGCATTCTTTTACTGCATCATATCCATTCAGTACAATAGCAGATATACCTCCGAGATCGAGACTGAAGATCTTGAAAAAAATAATAAAATGCTATTGCAACCAAATCTCAGGAACAAATAATGAAAACAACTAAAACAAGTAATAAAAATGTGAAGCCACACTACATACGAATGCAAACCAGGCTCAAATAAATTTCAGTAAGGCATACAGGTAATCAGAGGTGATGCAACTGTGGTATTAAACAGAGTTTGTTGTGAGCTAATTTACTCTGTCAAAGATAAAGGAAATCAGCCCACACTACATTCTGCACTTTGCTGTACACCTAAGTGACCAGCTCTCCAAAGTGAAGACTGGGGATGCTTTCATATAGTCATTAAAAAAATGTGAATTTGGCACAACAGTGAGCATTTTCTTGAAAAAATGTACTGTGTCCTAAGATGAGCATAGATAAGTATGTATTAGTATCAGTATATAAGTATATAACATTATTTGATATAAGGTATAGTTTTATGTGTGAACTAGAAATAGAGTGCATATATTGTCTACTTTGGTAATTTGCCATGAGTATTTCCACAGGAGGGAGGAAATCTTTACTACTGTATGAGCTCCTCCTCCATGGCTGAGTAAAGGTAAATTCCAACAGCTTAATTTGGTTAAGGGCACTACGACTGAAGCTGTAAGGTCGTACCATGAAGACTTCCAACATGTCACTAAGTAACGGCAGACACAGAAGTGGTTTCAGTTGTGAAAACAACCAAGCTGCACCCAGTCCTTGCTACCTCTGAAACTGGACACCAGCTTACTTTGCACAGGCTCCCAAAGAATCATCAGATGATAGAAGTGAGAGCCATGATGACAGCCAACTTATGACAGCATAGCCCAGCTAGTCCCATCTCCCGTTTCCAGAAGTGGTTAGCACTAGGTGCTTTGGAGAAAGATGCAATATATCCTGCAGAAGGCACATACAGGATAAACAAAATGAAAATCTTAACCTAAGTTTCAAAAATTAACACCGAGGCTAAACTCCAGATTGAAATCCTGTGCCCTGTTCAATATTCCTCTTAGCGTTACAAATCTGTGGGTTTACCTACACCAGTCTCTAGTTTTTTCTTCATCTCAGCTGTTGACCTCCACAATATGAAATAAAGTTAGCCTATTTAAACACTCTGTGACAACTGGGCTGCCACTGAAAGGTTTGTCAAGCCCTGGAACAGCACAGCCTGCCTAAGGAAGTGGTTGAGGTATTTAAAAGACCTCCTGTAGATGTGGTACTTAGGGACATGGTTTAGTGATGGACTCGGCAGTGTTTGGTTAATGGTTGGACTCCATGATCTTAGGGGTCTTTTCCAACCTAAATGATTCTATGACTTATGTTTTAGCAAACTTTGTATATTCAGTGTTATAATGGCTCTTCTTTTTTACAGGACAAGAAGACAGTCCCAATATATTTCTGCAAACTATTTGTATACTTTAATCATAGCTTATTTTTCTTTCTTCCTATGTCATACAAAATTAAAAAAAAAAAAAATCCTCTCAGTGTTTTTTTATCAGAGCCATCAAAATCCTGATATGTCACCTTCAAGTTCTCTCAAATTCTGCAGGATCCTTTCTGACAGCAGGTGATAGAATTATATACAGCATTCCAGGCAAATAGAAAGCTTAGTTTATTTGTTGACACATTTTCCTGCTGGTTTCCATTCTATTTGTCCCTAGTATTCTGATTGAAATACATTTACCTTTTTCTATTGCCAAAATAAATGAAACAAAAGGGAATCTTAATCTTTTGTTTCTGCTATTTAGCAGGCTTTTAATTCAGGCACTTTTCTTGGCTTCTCATTCATGCCAAGACTGGGACTTACTCTGTTTCTGCTGGAGGTTTCATAAATTATCTGGACAAAAGCTTTTGAGAGACTTAAGTTCTCAAAACAGTTTTATTTGGCTGTGAGGGGTGTTATACTTAAACACCTCTAGCAGTTTGAAGGACATGATTTCCTTAACAAACCATTGCCTGCTGGCCACAAAGCTCAGTCCTTCACACACCTCCAGTGATAATCCTTCTAAGTAAAACAATACAGGTGTTATAAACAGTCTGAAGATGTACAGGCAGACTGAGTGGCTGGCCAGGCTGTGTGCACTGTGTCTGTGTGTGTTCTGTTAGGTGTACACACACAAATACTAGCATGTCCCTGCCTTTCCCTGTCTTGGGTTTAGCTTCTATGAAGCTTATAAGAACAAATCGGTTGCTTGAAACCAGTTGATGAAAAGAAACACTTACATAAGAAAGAAAAATTCTATGCTCATGTAGTTATACTCATTGACTGTAAGTAAGTATTCCAAATACTCCACTGAGGGCACCTTCAAGGTGCAATGTGTTTTCAGTGAAAATGTTGCCTTATTCAAGTGCCTGCTATTTGGCGGTGGTACTTTTATTAATTTTAAAGCCCTTTCGGCATGCCCAAGGCTAGTGGATATGAAAGCGAGGTCGTTCCACTGGCAGCAGGACACGAGTGTAAGCACTGTACCAAAATATGACATAAACTCCAGAGCCGGGCTCGTGGACAGCTCCACTCCGCCCATCCTGCCCTAACCGGGGAGCTCGGAACGGTGACAACTCTTCTTCGACGCTCGTCTCTCCCTTTTCCCACAGGCAGGGCTGACCGCAGCACAAGTTTTGCCAGAGCCTGGCGCTCCGGACCCGCTACCGGCCGGGGGCGGGCCTTCTGCTCCCGCCAGAAGCGGGCGAGCTCCGCCAGCGGCACCGCTGCCACCTCCCCGGGGCGGCGCAACCCCGGTTGGCCGGCCCCGCGCTGCTGACCGCTCGCCGGCGGGGCGTGGGCACCCTGACCCGCTCCGGGCCGGAGCCAAGCGGCGGGACAGCTCCCGCGGTGGCACGCGCCGTGCTCCCGGTGCGGGTCCGGGCTCCGCGGCAACCCCAGGACGGCCGGGACGGGCACAGCCCGCCCGGTTGCTGCCGCGGGCAGCGCTGCCTGCCCCGTCCCAGCCCGCCCTGCTCCCTTTCCACGGGGCCCCGATGAGGCGGCAGACGCCGCCGGAGCGGCGGTACCTGCCCGTGGATCTGGCTCTGCCGCCGCATGTAGACGTGCGGCTGCTCCGCGCCCAGGGCGTGGATGTTGCCGATGAGGGGCAGCCCCGCGGGGCCGGGCGGGAACCCGGGAGGCCGCCGCTGCTTCAGCAGCTGCCGCACCACCAGCGCCAGCAGCACCGCCGCCAGCAGCAGCAGAGACACGAGCAGCAGGCAGGCGCCGCTGCCCGGTGCCGCCGCGCCCGGACCCGCCGGCCACATCGACCCGGCCGCCGCCGCCGCCACGCCGCTTCCTCCAGGCACCGCCCCCGACCCACCGCCTCATTGGGCGTTGGCAGCGCCCCCATAGGCTCATTGGCCCGCAGCAGCTCCGCCCCTCGCGTCAGGCGGGTAGCGGGGCTAGCGGAGCCGCCCGTGGGGGCCCGGCAGTGGGTTGTCTGTCTCAGGCCCGCGGGGGAGCCGGTGGCCCGCGGAGCTTAATGGGCCGGGCCGGGACCCGACCGGACGGGACAGGACAGGACAGGACAGGACAGGACGGGCTGGGCTGAGCTGAGCTGAGCTGAGCTGGGCTGGGCTGGCTTCCGGGGCCTGCCGAGTGCGGAAAACAGGTCTCCGTATCCACGCGGGCTGCCTTTGCTCTTTTTTTGTGGAGTCATGTTAAAAGTCTCTACTTTCGGGTCTGTGAAGTGCTGAAGAAGCGCTGCTGACTGCGTGCTGCATGTGTTGACCTTGACAAGTGAGAATAACTAGAAGTTACTTGCTCGTTGTTCAGTCTCTGTGGAAGCGAAAATCCACAGTTCTGGGATGTCTTTCCCAGAGCCTCTTGGAGCCTGTGTGGCCTTGAGTCAAGGCATCCCACTGTGTTTCCCACTCTGCCCTCTCCAATGACAGCACAGGACATCTGTGTATCTGACCGATTTCTGCTAGAAGGCGGGTGTGTGGCAGTTTCACACATCATGCCCATCATTCCCAGTATTGCACAGCCTGTCCTCAGGCCCTATAAGCCAGCTAACGGCAGTGCTGGAGGGCTGCAGCAGGCAGGCAGGGGGAAACGGGCCCAGCCTCCCTGCACAGGAGGAAATGTTCCCAATTCATGGGATCAAGCAGCAAGAAAATCACATACATAATATGTAAGGGCTATTGTTACTCAGTGGGATGATGCCTTGGGAAAGAAAGCTTGAGCTGCTGATGAGACCAAGGTCATTTACTGCAGAGCCAAGGAAGCAATGCTGCTATGCAGTGTGACATCCTGCTGAAATTTTTCATGGAAAACTTAGGTTTTTCTGATTTTGCTGTTACAGTAGTGCTGTTTTACAAGCAATTTTATGTTACAGAAGCACTTCTGCCCTGTTAAAATTTCTATGCTACGAGTTTCCAACTTGAGATTTCTTTTGTTGAATTCAGTATCCCTACATAGATTCATATGAATGCTAATAAGATCTAAACTGATAAAGAACTTATACTGATGAAGCTCGGTAATAACTTGACTGATGAAAATGCACTATGTACTTGATAATCTAGTCACTGAATCCTTAATTCCCAGTATCTTCCTGTGATGGGACATTCTGCTTCAGATGTGGTGGTACTGACCTGCGAGCACATGGCACAAAAGCTGAGGAGGACCCCAAGGTGCTGCTCAGAAGGCAGGTGGTTGAGAACACAAACAGTGAAGGCTGTCACTTTGGGACTACAAAGAGGAGGTAAGAGTTGTGGGTGCAACAGGGGAACAAGGAGGGGAGCTGGGAAGTGACAAAAGTACAGCTTTTTAGCTGGAAATCTGGCTTCAGGGCAGTCAATCTGGCTATCTGGGCACTTGCTGAATAAATTGAGTGTGAGGGTATGAAGTGTAAAGACAGAACAGGATTCAAAGAGTGTACTCACTCATGTTTGCCTAGGTTGGGCAGATTGAGAAGGAAAGATAAAAGTCACATGTATGTTACAGAGCAATACACCAGTAACTTCTAATGAAAGCAAGTGTGACAATGCTGACCCAGCTTCCTCAGCCACAGTTGCTAATGCCTTTGTGTTGTCATGCACTGACATGGAGTTGTTTGGACCAGGGTTTGTGCTGGTTTCTGTAAGCCAATAAAGAGACAGTCTTTAACTTTCAGGTGAGTCTTCATGCAACAAATAGTCAGTTTTATTTGCCTCAGCATCTTTCTTTGTCCCAGCTGCCAAATGCCTGTAAAGCATGTGTCAGTGCCAGCCTCCTTTACCAAATCTTACCCAGTTTGTCAGAGTTCAAAGAAGCAGCTTGAGCACTGCCAGAGGTTTATTTCATTCTTCTCCCAAGTTATTTCTTCATCCTTTCTTCCAGTATGATACTGTTAGGTGTCTTAACTGAATTACTTGGGCCATATTTGCAAGAAATGTGAATATTTCAATATCAGAGCCTTAAGATTTCTCACCAGAGAGCAAGAGATTTAGGACCTCAGCTTGGCTTGAGCCAGAGGAATAATAAGGAGAAATGGCCGAGGATTGAAACAAGACACACAATGTGCTTAAGAAGTTGTGCTGAAGCAGGCAAACTCAGATAGATTAAAACCTGATTACTTACACACATTTAAACAAAGAGAGGTGTTTCCAAACACTTTAGATCAGCATATTCAGGTGACTAGAGGTACACAGATTGGCTGGTCAGAAAAACACTTCAAAACAGTGTGAGAAAGACTAACAGCCTACAGACAATTGTACAGAATTAACTTGTAAGATTAAACTGCTCTTGACTATAGTGGAGTAGAAACATTAATGTGCCAGATTATTGGTGCATTTAAGGTTAAAGTATGGTGTACATGCATACTGTTATTAGTGCAGTCTCAGTTAGAAGGATGTAAAACTTTCTGTAGATAAGCTCCTGTCTTTGGAAAAAAGAGGTTGGCACTTTATCCTCTCATCCTTCCCTCAAAGATACTTGCATAGTTTCCAAAGTGTCTGAGGAAACATAAGAAGAGGTACTATTGCTTTGATGGTTTTACTGCTTATCTTCAATGTTCTGTCATTTAAGTGTGTAATACTTAGCATGCACTCCAATTTTAAATGATCATGATTTCCACTGCGTCTATGCAGGAAAAGAAAGGAAAGGTGATTGACAGTTTTGGCAGTGAGTGTTTTCAAGGAGAAAAACAGGGAAAAAATGAGCATATGAAAGACCCAAGAGGAAAAAAGATACAGAAGAAAAGTCCAAATGTTTGG